TCCTCAGCTGCACTAACATCATGCTTTCAGCCCATTATTTTCAGTATTATTTCACCCCTCTCATAGCTTCAGGGTCCTGATGCTGAGAGACAGCTGTGCCTGATAGGTAAATTCTTTGTTGGCAGCATGAGTTTAGTTCTGGAGCTATTGATGGAAGCCTTTCTGCATTGCCCAAAGGTTTATGCAGGGATTAGGTTCTGACTGTGGCCTCTGCTCTACAGGCAGATTACTCCTGTCTTCAGGGACTGTCTAGTGACCTCTCTGGAAGTGGAACCATATAGATTAGAGGAAGATGCAGAAATTGGGAAGGTCACACATGCTAAAGGGAGAAATGTGCATGGCACCCACTCCAGCCCTCAAAGAAGAGAGAATGCTGTATGGGTCTGCTTTACTTTTGCTGCTGTGTTGGAGGATTTAAGAAGTGAGAGCAGCAGGACAAGGAGTCACTGTGGCCAGGGAAAAGGAGACTTTGATAATGCCCTTCCAAAGGAAGGATTAGTAGGATTTGGAGCTGATAGCAGGAGGCAGTGACGTAGGAAACAGGCTCTGCCAACTGCAGAATTCATTTTGGCAGTAGAGAAGTGAATAGCAGCATCCTGTGAACATCAGTCAGATATGTACTGATAAAAACATTGGTGCAAAAATATCCCAATTGGTGAAAAATAATTATTTCAGGCTTATAGAGTGTAGATAGGACAGGGGCTAGATAGGACTGGAGGAAACCATAAACCCAGAAACAAGGTACACAAGGCTCATCCTTTCTGTTCTTTTGATGCCACTATTGCTTTCTGCAATAACCTCCTCCTGTCAGCTTAGCCACTGAAGTGGTCCTTACTCCTGCAATATCTAAGATCCTATGCCTTTTTTTATTTTTCATACCCCCCAATAATTAAGCTGATTGGAGAGCTTAATTTCTATCCAGTTGGTTTTCCTCTAAGCTGTTCCTTCTGGGTCTGTGAAAACTCAAGGTTCAACATTTGGAGAATTACTTTCATTGCAAGCACTTCTGTGTTCACATAAAAGCCAGTATAGTAGAACTGAGATCCATCTCCTCAGGTTCATTGTTACATGGGTATCATTCAGTCCCTTCTCCTTTCGTGGGCATTACTGTGCTTGGGTCATTCACATTTCCCCAGAACAGCACATGGTCATCTGGCAATCTGTGGTTTTGCTTGCAAGTTTTATCGTTTATGTACCTGAAAAGGTGACTCAAATAAGTTCTTTCCCCAAACATCCTTTGTTTTGTTTCTGCTTTTGGTATTTGCTAACAATCTGCTAATTTTATTTTGGTTTTTTTGTTTTTTTTAGCAGTTATGAGGAGTGTTGGTGAGTTTTCTGTTTCTGAGAGTTCTACAGAGAGGGTTTCTGTTCTTTGGGTTGTTTCTTTTTCCTTTCTTTGGCGAGGTCTGGTGTGTTTGAAAGTGTGCAGGGCTTTTTAATGTCATGCATCATGGCATCCCTAATTGTGCTCTAAGTAATTGTAGCTGCTTGGTAGAACATGATACGTGAATGAATTTCATTTCATTTCATCTGCAATGTTTGTTTGTAATGAACAGCTAGTTCCTTGGCTCTCTCTGATCATAAGAAGTTAGAAAGCTGAAAATTGGAACACAAGGATTTTAAATCTTTTCCTCTGTTATTTCCAGGGAAAACTGCCTGGAAAGAGAAACTTTCTGCCAGAGGTGGAAGATAATTAAGCTAACTATGTACTTTTAAATCTTAAAGAGTGATTGATTGGGCACGAACCCATGTCTTCCTTTGGACATTTCCACTTAACTTTTATTTTCCTTCATGTTGTGCTATTCAGTGCTGTGAAAAGGAAACATTACTTGGTGGTTCAACAGCTCAGAATTTCAGCACTAAATTACTCATATTAAAGGTTGAACCTCTAATTCCCTGAGAGTTTTAGGCTATGTTACAGTAAACTGATACAGGGCAACAAGAGCTGTTCATTTGAAAAAGCAATTGCAGGTTGGAAAGCAAATATATGTGAACTTGACACCCTAAATTTTCCCTCAATCATCCCAGCAAATATCTGTGATTAAAAAGATAATAATTCTAAATCAAATCTCAATATGCTGCATGGCCTTTTCTGCCAAATACGTCTTGATGCATGTTAACCACACTGTCGTGGAAAGAAATTGCTCAGAGGAATTGTCACTGAGATCACTGGTCACTGGAGAGAGATCATGTCCAGGGGAAGCCCTAAAAGCTGAGCTGAATTTCTTGTATGGCACAGCAGTACTGGGGAGTGCTGTGCTCTGCTCCACTGGAGTGGGTGACCAGAGGGACACACACAAGGAAACTCAAGAATCACTTCTGCACTCCATCCTCTGAAAACAAATCCCTCACCCTTTTTGTTTCATCCTGGAGCTCAGACAGATGCTGGCATTAAGCTCTCTCTTGCCTTAATATCCATTGAGGGAGAAGAATTGGATTTGTGGCATGATTTTAAAGCATGTCCCACACAACCCTCCTGTCTTACAGAGCAGATCCAGAGCAGAAATGAGCAGCTCCAGGGGCAGCAGAGGAACTGACACTCCCTGGAGGTTGTGGTCTGTGGCAGCTGTGCCTGGTGAAGACACTCCTGTGTGTGTAGCCCCTCAGCAAGGCTGTCAGCACTAACAGTGCTGAGATTGGTGCCAACAGTGGGTTCTATCCTCCACTGCCAAGCAAACAGTCTTAGTGGAGCTGCAGAATCCCCATATAAAGTTGGTTTATTGGTATAGTTTGTTAGGAAAAGGCCAAAATTTGGTCTTGCTCTATATTGTTCCAGTTGAGTTTATAATGGGGAGAGTTGTATCATGCCCCTAGTTTAGCATAGTAAGTGTGTGCTGACAGAAGCTACACCAAGGACAGTGTCTTTGGATTAGCCTGAAGATCTGCTTTGGGTTTTACATGTCTTAAAATTGCTTTTGCTGGTGTAACTTGATTCAGGCCTGCAATAGAGGAAATGACATAGGAGCAGAAGGATTTTTTTGTTAAGATCACAGTGTTTGCACTGTGGCATTTCTCTGTTAGGAGTGCAGATTTTCTTTTCATGGTGCTATGGGATATACCAGGTTTGTAAATCAGGCCTCAGTGAAGTATCTGTGTTGTAAGGAGAGGGGGAATAAGACAAGCTGCCTCTGCAAACAGTGGTTCTGTATCTGATGCCAAAATCTGTCACTCACATTGTCCTCAGCAAAACTGTCCCTCTGGTGTACAAACCTCTGCCCACAGCCCCTTGCCATAGGGGATTAGTAAATCTGGTCTGAGTGCTTTCAGGAAAGGCAGAGAAGGCTCTAATGTCATGTTCCTGCTGTGCAATTGCCCACTGGCCTTTCACTGTTGATCACTAGCTTAGGTAAATTTCTGTTGTCTGCCATTAATTCCCAGCATGACACTGTGTGTCCCTCTAGATCAATTCCCCCCCTAAAATCAGCCTTTCTTTTCCAGCACTTCAACGAGTTCCCAGTCTATAATATACATCCCCCAGGACATCATTAGAGCAAAGGAAATTATTGCCCAAATCAACACCCTGAAAACGCAGGTCAGTTACTATGCAGAAAGGCTGTCCCGAGCTGCCAAGGACAGATCAGCTAATGGCCTGGAAAGAACACTTGCCATCCTGGCAGACAAGGTAGGAGAATAACACATTGGCATGCTGAAGCACATTGTAGTTCTTTTTCTGTCTATAACTTTAGCAGGTTTTCTTGAAACATCTACTTTAGCTTGTTTAGTAGGATGTTGTAACATGTACAGTCCTGAAAAAAGGAAAATCAGATCAGGCTTTAAAAATTTCTGCTTTTATTTAGGTTGTCTCCTACTTTTCACACTCTTGCCCTTACCTCCTCTGGACACTGCAGTGGAGAGCATTGTCCTCTGATTCCCTCTATTAATTCATCATATTCTAGTGATGTGCATTCTTCACTCTCTTTTACATCCTTTTCTCCATAACCACCTGGAGTTTTCAATGCTCCTCTGAGTCATCTGTCAAGCAGAAGCAGCTATACCAAAATTAATGAAGCAATTCTGTATTTTTCCACTGGTGAAATGAGGAATAATGGTGACACAGCCTTTGCTTGGATTAATAGTGATATAACCCAGCTATCTCTTGATGTGTGCTAACAGAAAGCAGACTGGACCCACAGCTGAACACAGTCTTACTTACAGGGAGGAAAAAACCAAATACAGTTGTACTGATCCCTTCTGTCCTTGAGGCACATCTGAAGGTTGTAAATGGCAGTAGTAGCTAAATCAGCTTGTCATGAGTTGTCCCAGTGAAGGGGATATGCATACAACTTTGGAGAGTGTAAAAACTATGTGTCCTCATGTAAATGTATTCTTTATTGCAATATTCACTCCAGATGAGTACAGTGTGTGTAACTGATCTGTGGGATTTTCTGTGTCCGGGTGATGTTTATCTATAATGTAGTAAAGTCTTTGTTGTTTTTTTAATAGACACACAGGTCAGATATTATTCATGTTCATATCACTTACAGAAATCCTTTAATCCAACACCACTAAATGAGACAAGGGACAAGTTGCATTGGTTAGTGGGTTTTATATTCAGCCTTCCTCTGAAGTTTGTTATGATTTCAGACAGAATGGTGAAGGTAAAGCTTCATCTCTCTGGTGTGGCAACTATTGTATGGGGTATAAAAACGTCTGCACATTGTCCTAAGCTTTCATCACACTGGAGTGAAATGAAACTAAAGATGAATTGCACATTCATTAGCAAAACTTTCAACAGTTTCAAGACTAGTACAGTAGTACAGACTTTGGAAATGTATCATTTGTGTTCCCATATCCTTTTGGGTTGTTTTGAAAGGCATTCTGTAAAATTGTTCTAAAGGCACCTAAAAGACTCCTAAGGAAAGGTTAGTTTCTTTCTGTGAAAAAATGTAGTATAAATTGTGTATGGAATAATGAAAAGTCTTTAAAAGGTGGAGGTTTATTTCTTTTTAGACCCGGCAACTTGTCACGGTCTGTGACTGCAAACTGTTGGCAAATTCAATACATGGACTGAATGCTGCAAGGCCAGACTATATAGCTTCAAAAGCATCTCCAACCTCTGGAGAAGGGGAGCAAGTGATGCTGAGGAATGATCAAGATACACTTGTGGCCAGATGGACTGGGAGAAATAGCAGATCTTCTCTGCAGGTGGATTGGCACGAAGAGGAGTGGGTATGTTTTCTTAGTGGAGCAATGAATACTTTCTTCTTTTTACTTTATTTTTCTGTGTTCTTCTATGATGAGCTCTGTAGCTGCTCTCCAGATATGCATAGGATGAGTATTTAGGAGATATTGGTCAACTAGAAAAGATGCTCAGTTACTCCTCAGCATGGGAATACAAACAGCCCTTATTATTTCTGGGTCTCCTAAGCAGAGGAGATTGTTGCAGTAGGTGCATAACTTTTTTGAGGTCACTTCCAAGAGAAAGTAAATAGCTTTTGAAGTAAAAATCTGATCATAGTACAATGGGCTTTTGCACTTCTTCAAAATAAAGTGTATTTTGTGTGTGTTAGCTATGCAATTTAGCCTTCCTCTTATAAAAAACTCTCATCTAACTATTTAGAACTTGCAGTCCATCACTGTTTTGACTACGAACAGCATTTTAAAATAGTTTGCACAAAGTATTTAAATGGTTTTCCTTACCACACTGCCAATCAAAATGAGAATTGGGCTGTGTAAATTCTGTCATCATGGAATGTAAACGGAGGTTAATTACATCTCACAAATGATCATGATTAATTAAAGCAATTATTGATATTGTGAAATATCCATTTTTAAAAGAGATCCAATTAATATTGGAAATGGATCCTTGCTAGTTTTAATTCTTTTGGCAACCTTTGGCTTAAAGTCACAGTAATGAGAGACAAATAAAGCTAATTCAGTTATTTAGGTAGTACTATAATTTTCGTAGACACTATTTTTATCTGTTATTCATAGAGTTACAGTGAAAAAAAAAGATGCGTGATTATGTGCAATATTATGCCAAACATGAATTTCAAGAATAAACAATAGTGCCAGCTCGAAATGGGAATAACAGTGCAGGAAGGGGCACTAAAAGTTACTTGGCAATATTTCAAGAATAAACAATAGTGCCAGCTGGAAATGGGAATAACAGTGCAGGAAGAGGCACTAAAAGTTACTTGGCAAATTTTCTTAGGAAATTGCTTTGCCATTTCCCACACAAGTCATGTCACTACATATTGTTGACAAGCTGATACACATTATTTTTATATCCAGAATTTGTGTGTGCACACGTGTAAACACAATAGCCCAGAGGAAACTTTGCTGAGGAATTGTGACCAGAATCACAGGAGGAAATATATTGCCAAGGGATTTATTACCAATGTCTCTTTTCTTTTTAAATTGAGAAAGAAATGTTTTCTTTCAAGGAGAAGGTGTGGTTGAATGTTGACAAAAGTCTGGAGTGCATTATCCAGAGAGTGGACAAACTCCTGCAGAAGGAACGTTTGCAGAGTGACAGCTGTGAAGATGTTTTCCAGTGCGACGTCAGCACCACGAGTAAGAAAGGTAATCGGGACACTCGTGCCTACTGGATAAATCCAGAAGATTTAAATGAGATCTGCTCATCCTCACCACCTTCATCATCCTCACCACCATCTTCATCCACACCATCCTGTGCATGCCATTCTCTCACAAAGACAAGTGCGTATGCCACACGCTGCTTCTCACTGCTCCTCACTGCTGCTCTGCCGTGCGCTGGCATCGCTCCCACACCTCCATCCCTCCCT